AAGAAGCTCCCGTTCTACCTGTATTGAGATTAAGAATATACCGGTTGAGAAATCGGAAACAAAGGCTTCTTTATTAAAAACGTTTACTGATATCGGTTCACTTCTTTCCACCACTATACACTCTCACGAAATAAAAGACATATTTCGCATCAATTCCAAAAACTCCGAAAAGAAAACTACTATGATAATCGAGTTAACAAGTGTAATTGCAAAGGACGCATATCTGAATGCATATAAAAAATATATCAAAAGTCATGGTAATTTGACCACCGAAAATTTAAAAATACCTGGATCCGCTGTGCCTATATTTATTTCCCAAAATCTGACAGCCAAAATGAAACGTTTATTTTATCTTGCTCGGGTATTTGCCAATAGTAATGATTTTAAATATTGTTGGTCTACTAATGGAAAAAATTTTATTCGGGAGAAAGAAGGTGCCACTCTTCATTGGATCAAGGATGAAAACGACTTACAAAAACTAGTTATACAAAAATGACTGGTTTTCTTTGTATAACATGTATTATTTTTTATTGTATAGTTAATTTACTTTTAAAATTAGTTTGATACTCAATTTTAGTTCAACGTTGGTTTTTTGTGAACTCTTTTTTAATTACACACATCCACAGACATCTTTACACACATTTTACTTCAACCTTGCACACACATTTAAAACAAATTGTTCTAAAACTTTAATTTTACCGACTGTATATAGATATCGATTGGGTCTCGTAAATAAAATTATGTGCTCAGAGATGTATTATATATACATTTATATTTGTTCGTATATAAACTGTTATAAAATTAAAACTGATTATGGCTGAATGCCTAAAAATAAATTCAGAATTGGACCTTATATCTGTTGGTAGCTCGTATACTTGCTCGCCGGAAAATTCTATTAATTATCTGCCTGATGCGACCAATACTTTGAAAATTCTGCATGTTAATATAAGAAGCATTGGTAACAGTAGTAACTTTGATGGGCTGTGTGTTCTGTTGCAAAGGTTTTCATTTGAAATCGATATTATTATACTGTCTGAATGTTGGTTGAGTAAATGTCCAAATATTCCTAACATAACTGGATATTTATCACATAATTCCAAATTCACCAACCAAAATGATGGGTTTGTGGTTTATATAAAACAGAGCTTCCATTTTTCTATCGAGGAACCTCAGATAGACGACTCTAGCGGTCTCGTTATAAAACTCTCAACAGAAGTTGCTATTCTTGCAATGTATCGCTTCCCGTCTTACAAAAATATTGATAAATTTTTGTTTGCATTGGACTGCTTTCTACCTTCATTAAGGTCTTTTAAAACGGTAGCTCTGATCAAAGTAATGATGGTTGCTCTGATAAGTATCTTAATCTGCTGGCTTCTCATGCTATGTTGGCCGGCCATAATTTACCAACTCGCCATCAGAATTGTATTGACCATGTGATTTTAAGAACAGACAGAACAGCTGTTTCTCTCGTACTAGATTCCCATTTCACTGATCACTCACCAGTTTTGTCATTTGTTGGTTTTACTTGTACTAAAAATAAACAAAATCGTACAATAAATAGGGTTGATATTGCGGCCTGTGTAGGGGAACTTGAGAAGACAAACTTCTCATCTGTTTTGCAGAATTCTGACGCAGAGAATGCTGCACATTCTTTAGTTAATATTGTGTCTCATATAGTGAAATCTAACTCCAGCGTGCATACTATTCCAGGCAGAAAACGAATAATAAAACCATGGATTACACCAGGCTTACTCCGTTGTATTCGACACAGAGATAAACTTTTCCGTAGGTCTAGGCAAGAACCTGATAATGTCATTATTTCTGTGTCATACAAAAGGTACAAAAGTTATTGCAACAACTTGCTGAAAAGAGTTAGATGTGAGTATGAGCGGTCCCAGTTTGCTAAAAATAAAAATAATATCAAAGGTACTTGGAACGTAATAAAAACCATAACAAACATGAATAAAAGAAATAATTCTGATGCACTTTTGTCTTTACATGGGGATCCTTACGTTTCCGTTGACCAGGTTAATGAGTCCTTTATCGGTGTGGGTGACAGGCCAATGCCTGTCGCGTCTGATATCCCTCTTACAGTCCCGCTTGAATATGTTTCTGAGACATCTTCTCAGGATTCGATGGCTTTATTCACTACAGATGAAAAGGAAATCGATTCTATAATTATGGGTCTCGAATTAAGTAGTGCCGTTGGTTGGGATGGTATTCCTACCTCACTCGTAAAGGCCACTAGACATGTCATGACGCCAGTTTTGAACCATGTCTTTAACCTCTGTCTCACTACTGGTGTATTCCCTAGTGTTTTTAAAAGGGCAATTGTTCACCCTATTTTTAAAAGTGGGAATAGAGACAGTGTCTCAAATTATAGACCCATTTCCGTGCTTTCTGTTTTCTCGAAAATCTTAGAGAAAATACTAAACAAAAGATTAATTGACTTTCTGAATGCTAAACAAACTATTTCTTCAAATCAGTTTGGTTTTAGAGCGGGAAAATCCACTGAAGATGCGGTCCTTGAACTTACTGGGTCAATTGTCAAAAACTTAAACAAAAAGTTGAAGTCTCTGTGCCTCTTTTTAGACATTTCAAAGGCTTTTGACACTGTCTCGGTCCCTATACTATTGCACAAATTGGAAGTCTTGGGGGTCCGTGGGCTGGTACTGGAATTGTTTAGAAGCTATCTTAGCGGCAGATATCAGTGTGTTTCGTTTAATAATATCACCAGTAACGAGAAATCAAACATATCTGGAGTTCCTCAAGGTAGTGTGCTGGGCCCGACCCTATTTCTAATATATATTAATGGTTTGTGTCAGCTGTGTCTGCCGAATTGTAAAATTGTCACCTACGCAGATGATACGGCAATTCTTGTACATGGACAGAATTGGGAAGAAACTCGAGCTTACGCTGAATGTGCCTTAAAAACAGTTTTATCATGGCTTATGGCTTATCTATATTCCAATAACATGTTGCTTTTAAACCTAAAAAAAACTTGCTATATTACATTTGCACCTAAACTTCATTCTCAACCTGATGCCTCATTTAGAATAACTGCTCATGAGACTCAGTGTCCCACCATAGATAATCTTTCGCTTGTATTTTGCAAATGTTATGAAATATTACGTTTAAATAATGTGAAATATTTGGGTGTTATCGTTGACAGTGTAATGTCCTGGCGGGATCATATTGAATCGGTTTCTTCTCGTATCAGGAAACTGATATTTATCTTCAGGAAACTACGTATCAGTGCTGATGAGGGTACATTGAAGACAGCTTACCTAACACTAGCTCAATCAATATTGACTTATTGTATCACCGTCTGGGGTTCCTCCGCAAAAACCAATCTCATGTTACTTGAACGGGCTCAACGAGCAGTACTAAAAGTTATGGCATCAAAACCTATTTGGTACTCAACAGTTCAGCTTTATGAGTTATGGAAGGTTCTATCGGTTCGAAAACTATACGTTTCTAATGTTATCTTGCGTAAGCACATATCCTGCACTTATAATCCCGAGTTAGCTTTGAATACTAGATTAGCTAACAGAATCTTCAGGATTGAAAACTGCACAACGATGCTGGCTAGACGGCATTATTTGTACCTTAGCTCAGTTTTGTACAATAAAATTAATTATAAATTACATATTTACAGTTTACCATATCGTGAATGTAAAAGTGTTTTAAATGAGTGGCTGCTTAGCCTTCGATATGAAGATATCGAATCTCTTATACAGTAAAATAATAAATAAAAAATTATGTAAACCTACAAAATACAAAGAGAGATACACACACACACACACACATACACATACACTCACACACAGTCACAAACACATACGCAAAAACGTTTTTATAAATGTTAAAGTTAGTATTTTTAGTATTTATTGTTACTAGTTATCATGTTCGAGGTGGGGCGCTATAACTGCGACACAGTCTCTGACTAATGTAGTTGTTAACGTTTTACATTGTTCTGTACAAACTATTTAATTGCAAATAAAGATTTTTATTATTATTATTATTATTATTTTATAGTATATAAAAAGTTTATTTAGAGAAACAATTTGTAAATGTGCAGTTAGTAAAATTAGTGATAGGCATCTTCACTAAAAGCATCTGGCCATGGTTCTTTATGTGACCATTTCTTTCTTTGGTCGGCCTTGCCTGTTTTCCCAGGAGTTTCAAACTTTCCATCATTCTTAAAACCTTCGTTGACTATCCGACTCTCTGATTTTCCTGAAAAAAAGTAAAAAAATATGTAACGGAATAGAAACAATAACTTATTGACATGAAGCATTTAATTCAAAATTGTAAGAAAACTTGACCGAGTTGAACCATAATAATGTATCAAAAGAAATGGTCATACTACAATATTACTTATTTACAATGTCAATCTAACCTAAAAATGTGCAATGTAAAATTTTTTGGTCTCAAAATTGTAATTTGAGTAAATTTGTAACTTCAGGCAGATTACAAACAAATAGTAACACAATTTCATACCCGTCATAGATGCTGTTCGCCCATAAACATCGTCCAAATCTCACAAAATTCGTCCAGCTTGGTAGTCTTCGAAACATCGCTGGAAAACTTTAAAAATCACTTCCCGCGTGCCACTCCGATTTACTTTACTCATTTTTATACCTTTCTGCGTCGTTTCGTCTTAATTTATTACATTTTAATCCAAACAATAAAAAATACAAATGGAAAACTGTTCCACAACTGAAAATCGATGGCAGCTGATGTGAAGTTTGGTGTTGCCAGACTCATGAATAATGTTAGTTCCTCAAAAATTCATGTCACGACTTTATAGACAAACTGTACCTGTCTCGTTAATATAGTACGTCCATAGTTAAACTGTATCTATTGGAACATCCCTCACATTTCTATCCCTAACCTGTGCACTCACTTCAATCCAATCTCGAACTAGTCTGTGCTTCAATCATTCTCACTCATTGCCTTTCAAGTAAAATTATTACTCAGTAAATAAATTTGCAATAATGGCTAATATAGCAGCTAAACGTATCAAAAGAGAATTCAAGGAGGTCATGAAAAGTGAAGAGGTAAGAATAACTTTGTTTTAATCTTGTTTCAGTGGACTACCTTAATTAAATAAATCAGTGGCACTTGCAAATTTATTAGAATGTCATGGTTTCTTGCGAACGTTGATCTATTGTAGCACAAAGTGCGATTGATAATATTTTTTAACACATTTGTGGTTTTAATTAACCTCATGAAGTAGAGGGCACAGGTAAAATGTGGAGATTTATTGTATTGTACGTGATTCAGCATGTTTCACTTTTGTCATTGTTACTTGTTTACGGCTGGCACCATATTTTTATCTCGTGACCGCCAAAACTAGTATCATTACCCATATTTAGAATAACAATAATGTACTGCTTTGTTTGTACCTGAATGAAACACGTTATATTTGTTTGATCACATTTAAGATTGTCAACATTCACAAACTGTGCCAACAAATGTGCAAAAGCTTTTTGTTAAACCACCTTCAAATATGATTTTGAGGAATAAATAGTTTCTCATTGAATATAAAAACGAACTTGCATCAGCGAATGTTCTTTAATGATTATCTTAAACATATCTTAATAGTGCTTTGCTAGTTAAAGTAAACAAAAACTGGATTTGTTTGTATAAATAGACTTAGACTACTGTTCATACTAGCATAGTTACATTATTTCTTGATCTGTTTGTTCTACTTGGATAGTATTTAAATTTGCTTTCCTTTGTACTTCAGATGAAACTAAAATACATATTTAAAAAAAATATACGTTGTTATTTACTTAAGTACTAGGCAATATCACATGTAGGTACTAAATGGGAGAGGAAATTAGATCCCATCTTCTATTTTGAAAAAATCGAACATGAATTCTGTCAATTAAGCATTGTTATTATTACACCCTGGTACCAGTGTGACAACATATTGTTTCTTTTATGATCTAAAATATCCGAAATAGATGCAAGCCACAGTGAAAAGGCTATTTGACAGTATGAAAAATAACAATTGTTGGCATCTGTATTAAAATGAATATTAGCAGCGTTTCAACTATTCTAAAAGAACAAAATTAAATAATTAATAACTTTTCTATTAAATCATTGCTCCATGGTCAAGTGACTGAAAACGCCTGGCATTGGCCAAGACTAAAATGACTTCACATACTAGTAAACTTCCGGCCAAACTAACATTACATTGTATTATTTGACATTTTAATAACTTCACATACTAGCAAGACGTCATATTTTCCAGATAAATATTTTCGCAGCAACTAGAAAATAGAATTTTTAATTCAGTTTTTTACTGTATTAGAGGCAACTTGAAATTTTTTTTATTTAGTTTTTTATTGTATTACAGCTGAAATTTAAAATATCCTTTTTATGGACTCCATAAACATTAGCTAATAATATGTGATCATTTCTAAAAGTTGTCAAGTACCCTGTTGTAATTAAATTAAATTAAATGTAATAATTGTTTCTGTAATTGGCCTGAAGATTGTATCTATATTTTATTGTATTAAATTTCACAAAAAACCGCTGTAGAAACTTTGTTAAAGATAAATAAATACCCTATTGGTACACCTAGGGTTGCAACGATATATCGGAATATCGATAATATTGAGACCAAAATATTGATATTTATATCGATATGTAAAATTCACTGATATCGATAATATCGATATCGGAAATTCAAAAATATCGATATTTCGTAGACTAAATTTGAACACAATAATATCAATTAATTTACCTGCTATGACTATCTAAATTGAATAATATCGAAATAACTATTGCTTTGAAATCGCAAGAGCTTATAGATGTATTAAAAAAATCTTGAACCCCAAGAAATATTTAGTATATTTCTTGCCAGAATCTACACCAACATATATAGGTATAATTGTATACCTAATGGTAACTCATGCACTTAAATAAAATCCTTGCCTCTCTTTCTAGATATCAACTACTGATTAATTGAAATTTAATATCATTGTAATAAAACACAAAATAAAATTAAGAATATTATTCAAATCGTAAATTTTTTAAGCTCGCTAAGTCAAAAAGTAAGATAGGTATAGTAATTTTGGAAGCTTTGGGCTTACCCTATTCTGAAGCCATGGGCACGCCCCTGATATGTGGGAGACTAAGCAATTTGCGTAATTGATGTGCGCTAAAAAGGGCTTGGAAAAGCACGAATGTAGTGATAACTAAGCGAAGGCATTCGCAAATGTCGTCCCACATATGCGGGTTGGCGCATTCGTGCTAACGAATTTGAGTGATCTGATCAGTATAATAATTTTATTTTTTTGGTTTCCTGTCGTGGCTGAAACACAAACCGTGCGAGCCAATTAAAAAATCCTGCTTGGCGCGATTTCATCAAGCGTGTTTAACGAAAAAGCTGGCTCAATGCATTTTGCGAGAAACTCGCCAACAAACATATGAATGTGTCACACTCACCCCGTATTCTAATGTCAATAAAAAATAAAAAGGAAAAAATATCGATAATATCGAGTTAAAATGGTCGATATATCGGATATCGATATCTTCCTGACTTCGATATAAATATCGATATTTCAAAAGACTGCATCCCTAGGTACACCCTGATTTGGAGATGTCAATGTTTGAAGGACTAACTGCTTTCAAATACAACTATTTTTGTGTTTTGTTATTATTGCTTCTCAACAAAAATTATGATATCCAGAACACTGCAGAAACATGGGGCAAGTGGTTAGAGTAGGCAAGGTGTAAATTACACTCTGAAAGACATACTATGGTGGACACTGACCATCATGCAGGCCACAAGTCTTGCTTTGTTCATAAAATAATTTCAAGTGTGTTATCCTCAATTACATTTATTTTTATTTTTAATATTATTGCTTAGAATTTGACTGTTTTGATTTAACCAGTAATATTAAACAGTAATTTCTGCTTCAGAAAATGTTAGCAAAGGGAGGTATTCAATTACTTTAGTTGTTTATCATCTAACAAGCCGGATGTCAAGATGTGATAAGACTGATGATGGCATGTAATCTTTCTTGAGAAAAGAGCTTAAAATGCTGCTTTGAACTGTATTCATTTGCCAAGACAAACTCCTCTATTTCCTAACACATTATTTTTTATTGCTATCAAATATGAAGTCCTAGTCTTAAAAGTAACCTTTGCTAGATCACTATGCAACCACAAAATCAGTAATTAATAAAATAAGAATGAATGTTTTATAAAATGTATAATAAAACTAAACAATTTATTTATTTACAAATTATAAAATCATATGTATTAAATTTTTGTAAAGAAACATTAAGAATCAAATAAATAACTTAATTTTCTGCTGATGAATTATGAGGTTTTTAGATTTATATACTCCACTTCCTTTCACCTCAGCAACACATTGTGCTTTGGATTGTGTGCTCATCATAGCAAAGTTAAAAGCTTGCAAATACATTATATTTCTTCTTTTACATCAAGCATATGTGTAATAAAATTGTCGACCATTATTAATACATGATTTTGTATGTAATATCTAGTTGTGCTATAAAAATATTAGCATTTTATTCTTCTTATACCTTTAGCATCAGCGCACATGCATTGATGTACATATACCTTTTAAAACTGTAATTTAGTACCAGTACGAAATCAGTCACTCCCTGCACAGACGTTAACATTTTTTGTATCCAGTTGCTTCCACTTTACACACACACAATTTACACTTGAAAAAAATCCTTACAATTGTACTGAGCTTTTGCACACTTGAACTACGGTTACCAGAGACCAGAAGCACAGAACAGGTACAGAAGTCAATCAGCATAAAAAGTGGGCTCGAAAAACGCACACATAGCGATCACGGACACAATAAATCGGACCGGTTAGGATTGGGACCAGTGCGGGCGTGAATTCCAACCGCTTGAGACTAAAGGCGACAGTCGTTTAAATTCAAAATTAAACGGTGACTTATCGTTTTTTTATTTCAAAAGTTACAATAAAAATAATTTGGTTATTATTGGTTTATATTTCCATTCTCAACAATAAATATCAATCAGTTGGATACGAGTGATACTCACGATAATTTTTTGTGCATAAGCCAAAGTTGACAATCTTAGCGCGATCGCCGAGCGTAGGTATGAAAAGTGAAATACATACATGAGTTTGACTTCTGTATCTATCTTTTTTGTGCCAGGTTTAGCAACCTGCGACTGTAACCGATCGTCGTTACAAGAACTACGGTTCCCTATGATGTATGCCGTGTCCTTAATAAAAAGTGTCGACGTTTGTGCAGCTTTTGAAAAAATATTTACGTCAGATATCAAACTCGAAGGTATATTGAAGAGGGTTAAAATTAGATATGTTTTTATATATGGGCTTGACCATTTCTTGCATTTTTGGTTAGAATGTTTCCTGGGTCAACTTAAGGTTGTGAGAGATAATCGCTTTTGACTCCTATTATAAAGTAATTTCACACATTATATTCGTAATCTTTGAAAGGACATTGGGCAAAAATGTATAAACGCTGCACCCACGTCCCCCCCGGCTTAAACTACATTTGTTTGAAAGCTATTATAGTCATGATTATCTGTGCCAAAGCGCATCGAATTCTGACCCGGGGGCATTAGTTATTTTAGATTAATAAAAAGGTAGTACTAAAACGAACGAACATTAATGAAACAAGGGAAAAATTATGAAACATTTATTTCATTACAAATATCATTAATAATCTTTGCCCACAATCATATGGAATATTCTCTTCATGTCTTACCAGGCCTAAAAACCATATGACCACCCTAATTATGCGAGTGTACTTTTGCTAGCAAAAGCCACAGAACTGACCCATCGTTTGTGCCATCCCCAAACAGTGGCTAGCGCCGGTGTCGTTAACAAACCTCCATAGTTTCCCATAATAATTGACTACCGGACATAGACTCTGTTCAAAACCGTCCCTGACCTGGCAAACAACCGTCTCGGTAACAAGCGCACAGGTCGTTTGTTATCGAGGCGGCTTTATACTTATATCACACATCATCATAATACAGCGGATTAAGATCGGGACTAAATGTTGGCCAGTCTTTCAGCCCTGATAAAGCGCAAAACTTTCGTTTCCAACCACGCTTGGCCACGGATGCAGCGTTAAAAAATTGCTTTTGTCCATACGTTGACATGGGTACAAATGCAATGCTATCACAGCAATCACAGCCAAATTTTCTAATGTTATCAGAACAATTTGGTACTCTGTGTCACCCCCGCTCCATTTTAATAATACAATTATTTATCACCAAGCGCGAAAATGAAAAAGCACAATGTGTCAGTTCTGGGAGTCCCAGAGTTAGTGTTGTCGTGTTTCAGGTTGCAGGTGGTGCAATAAAATTGGAACTAGTGGACAACAGTTGGACAGAACTGCAGGGAACGATCGCTGGCCCTCCGGATACACCATACGAGGGAGGCACATTCCTGCTCGAGATCAAAGTCCCTGAGACGTATCCCTTTAATCCCCCTAAGGTGAGGTGACAGACACGCACATTGTACACACTTTATTAAAATAACTGAATTGTTGTCCCTGCCTTTTCTATAGTAAACAATAGTTTTTAGACCAGTTTAATTCAAGTCAATGTATTATAGCAGTTGGCTTTATAGGAACTTATGCATTCCGAATTTGAATTCAAGTGTGAATGTAGACAATACGTGGTGCATCATAATATTGAAATTTACAGTCAGAGAAACAACTGATTTAGTTTTACTTTTTGCTTTCACAAGTTTTGTGACCAGGAATTCGTGCTTGGGCCTAAACTCGAGCAATCAGAGTCAACAGCTTGAAGCTGTCATTGATAACTTATGTGCATAGACGACTATAATAATAATAATATTTATTAAATCGACGAACTCTTGTACATAATATTCAACAAAAGACTTTTAAAGAGTTAATTTCATTTGAGCATATAAATACGTATATGAAAGACTGTAGTTCACTATGCAGTTGCAGGAGGCATGGCGGCTTTTATTGGCACGTTTAGAACTGTCTGATGAGGGTTACATAGTCCAATCCCACCTCCATCAAACTAAGAATCCTACCTAATATTATAAATGCGAAAGCGAGTATTTTTTATATTATATGCTAAATTTGTTTTTTGTTATCCAATCACGCAAAAAACGGCTGATCGGATATGGATGAAATTTGGCACACATATAGTCTGAGAGATCCCCAAAAAACTAAAGTTTACGCGTAAAAGTCGCGGGCGCTCGAGTATTCAATGGGGCTTCACCAATGGAGATATTTTTAAATGTATGACGACCTTAGATTAAAACAAAAAGGGAAGATACTATACGCTCATACTAGCATCAAATAAAATATGCTCCGACTCAACTACGTAAGCAACTCTCACGCACGCACACTTCTGTAAATTAACATTTAATTGAGCGAGCGAGACAGAACTATACGCTTCAACGCAGCGCGAGCGAAACGGCGAGTACACATCGCTTGGCTTGGCGACTGCGTTTTCTTTTCTCTCTCTACAAACGGCTGAGCTGTATTGCTGTCCTTTACTTGATAACAAATCGCAAAAAAGTTAATAACATTCATGACAAACCGTGATCTTTGAGATTTTTTTTTTCATAGTGTTAAAGAAAAAAAACCAATGAAAAGTGTTGCCGTGAAATTTGTTATTTCATCTTGAACTATTTGTGTTCTTTATAAAAGAATCGAAGGCATTGTTTTATCTTTATAGCACAGAATAAACGTAATATTGACGACCTCCGTGGTCGAGTGGTTTGTACGCCGGGTTTCATGGTGTCGCCGACTCGAGAGGTCCCGGGTTCGAATCCCGGTGGGGGCAGATGTTTGTGTGATGAATACGAGCATTTGTACTCCAGTCCTGGATGTTTAATATATATTTCTATATAAAATATACTTATATATGTACTGTATTATGTATTCTATCCGTTACCCTAGCATCCCATAACACAAGCCTTACATACAGTGCTTACTTTGGGGCTAGGCTTATTGGTGTGAGTGTCGGAAACATTTATTTATTTAATATTGTTATATAGAGTGCACATACGGCGTGTTTCAATGTACAACATAAAAGCGAATTTTGGTCATGCACCGCAATTTAAGCGGATCACTTTTGAGCCGCGAGTGCCGTATATTCCCTTTTTGTTTTAATCGAAGATGATGACATGACTGCCTTATATTTTGTCACTAGTTTTGGTAACAATGTCAAGTTCAATAAGCTTTGAGAAGATGTATTATCATTACGCTCGTTAAAATAAATAAAACGATTATATTTTAAACTAGCGGCCGCCCGCGACTTCGTCCACGTTAACTTCAGTTTTTTTTCTTTTATCTAAAAAAGAATATTTTTTATAAAAAGAAGTAGCCTAAGTTACTCCTTATTACATCAGCAACCTGCCACTAAAAGTCCCGTCAAAATCGGTCTAGCCATTTCAGAGATTCGCCGGAACAAACAGACAGACAGACAAAAATTGTAAAAAAAATATTTTGGTCGTATATATATGCATGTAGTAAAAAGCGCTTATTTCAATATTACCAACAGACACTCCAATTTTATTTATATGTATAGATTACAGTTTATTGAGTTCATCTCAAAACGAATGAAACTACGAATACCTACTCTTTTACTGTTTATTTTTTCTAGTCTTATTATTCCACAAAGTTAGAGACGATACTGATATTATCACTCTCCAAAGCAAGAATTTTGACAGATCCGTAATCAGGTCGCATCGTTAGTTTCTATGGATACTAAGCACCGCCTCTACCGGAAGAACCAACTGTCTTCTTCCATAGAAATATTGACGATGACGTTGCGATTAAGGTTCTGACAAAGTTCGTGCTTGGGCCTCAGGACGCTTGAACGTTTGCGCAGATCCGGTTCATAACGAAGATATGGCACCCGAACGTGTCGTCAGTGACGGGCGCCATATGTCTGGACATCCTCAAGGACCAGTGGGCGGCCGCGCTTACACTACGCACGGTACTGCTGTCCATACAGGCTAGTGTGTTGTTGAATTTATTGATTATTTACTATATAAAATTATCGTAATGAATAATGTCAATCGCAGACCGAACTAATAAAAACATTGACAAGAAATGAAGTTGCGATAAAGATTCAGATATTAATATTTGAATAAAATTATAAACTGATATTTTCAACCATTAAAATTATCCAATATCTTTATTCCACTGTTAACTTTTACCAATTAAATCTTTTCAACCATAAACGCCACCTCTAATACAGGCGCTCCTCTCGGCGGCCGAGCCCAACGACCCGCAGGACGCGGTCGTAGCCAAACAGTACCGCGACAACTTGTTCCTGTTCAACCTTACCGCACGCCACTGGACCAACGTGTACGCCGGCGGGCCGTCCAACATCACCGACTTCAACGACATGGTGCAACGACTCCTCGATATGGGAGTGGAAGAACATCAGGCTCGCGTGGCCCTCTCCACATACGACTGGGAACTGGAGCGAGCCACCGAGCAACTGTTCAGTTAGTGCCGCGCCACCTCGCCCCGCGCACCACGCCACGCAATGCAAACGGTACGCGAAAACTCCGGTTTTTGTGATCATTATAATGTTAAATCGTATGATGTCCCGCTGTGATCGATCTGTCCATAAATAATCCTCTCAGGTGGATATTGAGCTAGTTTTTACCGCGATAATTTAGGTTAACGAAGGACGTGTTGATTCGTATTCGCAGAGGTACATATTTTTTATACGGTCCCCTCCGCAGCCGTACGCCGCCGCCGACGCCGACGTGCTCTGTGTTTCGTAAAGCTCGTAGTATCGGTCGTGTCGTGCTGTTATCTCAATGCAATACCATTAGCACGAACCAATATTGAATTCAAATTGTTTGCGAGTGTGAAATGTCACTGTCATATTTTGTATGGAAACTTGAACAGCAGCGCCACAACAGACGTGACGAGAACTAAAAATCAGTACACATTTGACGTATAAAATAAATCGAATTCTATTGTGGTTCGTGCTAAGGGTACAGATATAAAGTTTGATTATAATAGGTAAGGAAGTAACGATTCGCGTTGTCGATGAGTGGTCAGCGATCACGCGAAACGACTAATAGGAGTACATGTAAATTTATAACACTAACTGCTACTTAATTAAATTGTAAGATTGAGGTTGAGGGTGAGAAATTGTCACGAGGATGGAGTGCATCCGGCTGAATATTGGATCGTTTCTTTAAGTTTGATAATATTACTCGGTTTTGTAATAGAATAAAGTCGCTGTCACAATAAGCAATATTGAATTTGAAAAATAAGAAGTTAGGGGAAACCACCCAATCATTGGCACTCGTCCTATTATTGGCACTTTTGAGTTTAATTCGAAAAAACAAGGAGATAGTAGATTATTTAAGGTCGTTACATATTAAAAAGAAAAACTTAGTATGGTTTCGAAATTTGAAAATAGGCAGCATTATTCCTACAATCTATTGTTTCCTGGTTTTTTCGAAATAAACTCAAAAGTGCCAATAATAGGAAGAGTGCCAATGATTGGGAATATCCCCTACTTCGTCGAAATTAAAATCGAAATTGAATATGCGTCTTCGAATGAAAACGCATACTTTGAAAATTTCGAACCGAATATTTCCAATCCGCGTCTCTGTGCAACAAAACAGCGAACGACAACGCTGCATAATATTGCAAACGAATAGTGCGACTAATTGAAAATCATTTGTTTACTGCACGTATATTACTCAAAGGGTATATGTTAGTTAACATAATTTTTTGCTTATCGCGATGGCGATTAAGCGTAATGTTATTAATTATATATGTTTATCTATTAAAATTTATATCTAACGAAAATCCCGTAAGGCAGGGGTTTATAACAGGACACCGCGACAATGGATTTTATTAACTCAAAAAAAATATGTTAGTATTAAAATGAGATTTATAGTTGATTTAGTATCGTGAGTACTTTGTTTTCGAGGAAACTTAGGCGATTTGCACACGTGGGACGGCATGTTCTTTCGTTGCCTGAAAGTTTTTCTCTTTGAATTGAAACACTCTTACGAGTTTGTAGGCTGTCTAATCTGCATGATGATGCAGATCTGCATTCCCGCGACCGCGCGTGGATTCGTCGTCTCGCACCCCGTAGCGTAGTGCAATTATGTTTCTATGTCCATTTTGGTGAAAAGTAACCAAATATACTTAAGATTTAAGAAGACGCAAATGATTTAATGATAGAATTTAAACATTGTTTATTTGTATTGAAACGAAAGCAATAAAATCAGTCCCCTACTACGATTGTAAAACTCGTACTAAGGGTACAGCACAGTATGAGAATCGCCTTAGTGAGTTTGCTATGAAATTGCAACATCCTCAAAGTTGAGATTAGCTCAAGAAACCATGCTTTTACAAGCATTATCCGTTACGGATAAGAGACATTTGAGTATCCTGCCGTGATTGCCATCATTATGACACGTCGTTATTATTTATTTAATTGGTGCCCAGGTGGTAATATTTTGATTTCGCATTGATCGGTCAGTTGTGTAATTTCCTTGTATCTTATCTTACTGAAAAGAACTTTTCTAATAATCTATTCCTCATTAAAACTGTCTAATTTCGCAATCTGACATTGAGATCATTGCTTGATATCAGAATGGACTGAGACTTAAAGAAGAAATGGAATTCCTGTATCGCTATCACGAAATTATTTACAACCAATGTGTATCATAAAATATTATAATTTAAAATATGTAGGTAGTTAAAAGAGTCTTTGTTTTCAAACAATTCATATTTTGAATTTATGTTTGTTGACACTCGATCGAAAGCTTAAGTTCTGAAGTACAGCCGTCCCTCAGTTTATTAAACGATCAAATAAATGATTCAATATAATATATTGATATCAGATCATTCATCATCAGAGAAAAAGTGTTTGCTACAAACTCGTTCAGTGGTCGTAAACAAGCCAGTTTTATAATTAAATATAATAATGCCCATATGGTCACTAGCACAAACATTCATAAATCAAAATTTAAGCTAAATTAAATTTATAGCATTACTCCATCTTTGTCAGTTGTTTATAGTTTAATGGATATGAATGGGACTTGAATATGATATGAACTTTTGTGCAAGAACTTGATGACGGATCATTATCCATGATGATGGTAAAGATGTACTACAAATAAAAATAGGTAATAGATTAATTTTCGCTAAACATGTTGATGTTAGTTAATATCACCATCACCTCTTTATACTTATGATTTCACCCATTTAAAAAAAGAGTTGCAGTTAATGTGTATTTGTTTAAAATTTAGAGCCTGCTTTTTATCATGACTTAAAGACATGATTAGAAAAGTGCCTAACATAGAAATAAAAATGCATAATTATGTAAAAAGTTATACTTACATTAACATACTTAAAAATTATAATGATTTTTGGTTCTTTATTTTTGTTAGATGATTTTTCAAAATATTTTTTAGAAGAATATATGATTGAAATTGGGGATGTTAGTGTGATACAGTGAAAACTTAATCAATATTAAGCAATTTCAAAAAGGCGTGTTTTTTTCTAATTCTGGATTACGGTGTAAAAATTCATATTTAGCTTCATTTTTCTCTATAATAAATTGTAAATCAATTGAGTTAGTTGGGATTGTATATTATTTTTAATTTTATTTTTATATAAATCTAATAAAGGTGGGTTTAAACGTGTCTGAAAATCTTCATAGCTTCATGGGGCTTAGCGTTCGTACACTCAAAGCCATCTTTAGGTTTTACAAAAATATATTGCGGCATCTTTAGCCGCATATATTTTTGTACCCATCTATAAGATAGTGAAAAAATAGAATGACAATATTGAAAATTCTTCAAAGAAAGATTTGACTATGTTAGACCAAACCGCTTTCCATTCCGTTTCAGTGATCGTCGTTATAATAATATTTAATATAAAAAGAACAATGGACAAATCCATCGTACATACATAGTACATGGTTATTGCTACGATGTCACTATTCTATCTCTTTAATTTTCTAGTACTTACACCAGTGAAATTGTACTTGCTGTTTTGCCAATGCTGAAACAGACGAAACTGGCTAATGTAACGGAAAGAAATCGCTTTATCGCAATACCTTGCAGTGGGCATGTGTCCAAACCCTTACTACCTTATTACAAAATGAAGACTAAAGTTAAACCTGGACTAAAACTGATGCTGTCACTTTTGTTTGGTAGATAAATAGAACAGAGACAAAATTAGTTTTAAACCAAGACTAACTTTAATAAATCCACGTTTTGGAATAAGGCGTCTATAGTTTGACTTTGTTTGTCAAATTGTAGTACAAATAAAACGGATAGTCTTAAGGCGCCCACTGCCTAACAAATAATTACTATTTTCTAATAACAGTATCGTAGTTAATCTAGTCGTCTGTTATTCGCCACGGAAGGTTGTGTTTGTTGATCGAATTACATTTGGAATGGAAATAAAAATATCTCCTCAGCCTCAATCCTCAGGAAAGTTATGAAGATCGCTTGTTCAAATATTAAATGACTTGTTTTTCTTATATGTAGATTCAATATTTGTAGGTATGTTTTTTGTTGTGTATAGTATGGGTATGAGTGAGGGTAACAAGGATAAAAAATTGATGTAACTTCAGAATAAATATTGTCGAACATTTAATGTGAATCCGCCTTTTATTTTGATTTCATATGGAATAAATCTGGGAGAAGAGTTGGGCGATTAAGAGTCTGCGCTGCGTTAAGCAAGAGTTGCATGAAGCGGACGTTCGTTCCGCGTGTTTGTTTCATGTTATTTCATAGAGCAGCGCTGCGTGGGGCGGGTCTCTATGAAGTGACAGAAAAATATCCGAACCCTCCGAAAGGCCACAGTTGAAAACGTAGGTTTCGTAAACATAAAGATTTCGCAGGACCTATAAAAAAATTAAGACAGAAGGATTTTGAAGCTATTGTAAATCGAACGCTACGACTCGCCGAATGTGGGCACGGAAATGCCTCAATATTCATATTTCTGTATGTGGCCAATTTAAATAATTTTGATGAATGGTAATATGTAGAAGGTAATTTGTAGGACTACATACAAAAATATCCAATCAGTTATTACGTGTTCAAAATTTACTGTACTGATACAAATTTGTAGTTAATGCTAAGTTTCTTAAACAAGCTTTAAAATTTAGCAGAAGTACCTAGTCAAAATGCTATGTGAGAATGAGGTTAATATAATATGTATTCTACCAGAACAGAATAATAGACTCCAGGAAGGACCCTCGGTCGAAACAATAAAAAACGAACTGATAAAAAATATCTGGGCTGGTACCATGGAGAACTGGAACTAGACGGTACCCGTCCACCCCGGTCGTCCCGCCCCTTTAACGGGACAGTTGGGAAAAATGTTCCATCACAAGCGTCTTAACCATATGCGGCGCCCGGGTGCGAAAGCCAACAATGTGCCCCCTTTTAAAAAAAAATACAAATTATATAAATCACATAAATAAGCAAGCATACTTATGTATTATAGTTTGACCGA